ATACAACAGGTTGGGCAAAATATTAAATTAAGCTATGTTTCGAAAATGAAGTCTAGACTAGCTGGGCTTTAAAGATTCAAGTTTATAGAGAATAATCAGGCAGGTTCTGCAATTTACTTCCAGGTGAATTTCAATCCCATTCAATTTGAATTCAATGTGGCTTTGGTTGAAATCCTCTCGGAAGTGAGTTACAGAACCTGCCTGAATAAGCAAAGATCTTAAAAAAATCATTAAATGTATAAAAATTTTTATAAATAAATTAAGTTTTAATTGTTTGTTAAAAAAATATTGCCATATACATGTTGCTAGCAAAATTTTTTGCTCAAAAATATCTGTACTCTTTGCTTCCGATTACAGTGCCGTGTGGGTTTTAATAAAAGTAATTTAATAAACGGTAAATGTTTGCTGGAACAAGTTTTGCTGCTTAAAAAGTGTGAGGTATTGATTTGCTCCCGTTCGGGTGTCAAGTTTTGATTTCTATTAAAAAAATATATAAAAAATGTTGCTAGACACACGCTGCTACCAACGTATTTGCTCAGATGTCTGGTATTTATTTCTATTAAAAACAAAATAAATAAAGGGGAAAATGTCGCTAAACACATGTTGCTAGCAACATTTTTGCACAAAATGTTTCTACATCAGTTCAGGTGTCAAGTATTGATTACTGTTAAAAAATATATGAAAAAAGGAAATGTTGCTGAACACATGCTGCTAGCAACATTTTTGCTCAAAATGTCTTTACTACCGTTCAGGTTTCAATTATTAAAAAAAAATAAAAAAGGACACATTTTACATGCTTCCTGATCATCGATTCTTGGTATTCAACTGCAGTATCGAAACCAAGGCACATTTGTGTGTCTCATTTAATAGCTGGGCAGCAATTTCATCAGCAACATGTTGCTTGAAATATTATTTATTGAAATATTCGCGTATTTAATAGCCACATTTACTATTTTTGAGTCGGAAAATTCCAAAAGAAAAATGCCTAGAGGCCGAAGTTTTGGCTCTGCACATACATATGCATTTCGTATCGCAAAGTATTTTGGTAAACAAATTAAATAAAATTTCACGCTGTGTTTAACTAACTAAACTCCTCGCTTTCGTTTTTTTTTTGGTTTTAGAAAAAAAATAACAAAAGAAACAAAACCAGAACGAAATTAAAAGTATATGTTTGCATTTTATTTATATTTTTTCACTTAGTTCATGTGCTTATTTAATTCTATAACTAAATGTAAATATATAAATTTTTGTTTCTTTTATTTTTTGATTCGTTGAGAACTTAACTCTTTTGCTTTTCGCTTACTCGCTATTTCTTAATAATTAACGCAAAGCGAGAGACACACAAAATAAAAAATACAAAAACAAAAAATATTTTCAATAAAAAATGTTGCCATTTTCCGCACTTAACATGTGTTTGTGTGTGCAATGTTCTACAAAAATACAAAAATTCATAGTATATTTATTAATTATTGTAAAAATTATAAGTATTTACATAAATGTATGTAGTAAATACGTGTATTAACAATGTGTGTGTGAAGTTTATATGTTTAGTATATAATCTGTAGATATACATATATTTACATGTATCAATAGTTTATATTCTTACTTATGCGTTCTTTTGTTTATTTACAACGCTTTTAGATTACTATATTTTTCGGTTTTGAGAGCAGCATTTTCTGATTTGTGGTTTAGTTTTTATCTGGGACGCCACTTGCATACTTTGCGTAAAGCTTTTCCCTTTTTAACAGTAATTTTTTGTAAATATATTTAGTCAGCCTAATCAGCAAATAATTAAGTTTAAAAAAATAATAATTTGCGTAAAGATTTAAAAAAAAAACATTACAAAAATTACTAAAAAATCATTAAAAAGAACTACAGAAAATTAAAGAACAATGCAAAAAAATTAAAAAATTGTAAATAAAAACATGCAAAAAATCAAATATAAACAATTTTTTTACAATTTTTAAATATTTCAAAATAAAAAAATCAAACTTAATTTTTAAAGTAAAAAATGTTAACCAAAAACCAAACAAAAACCAAAGCATTTTAACTATGTGTATCGGTTTATTTATGTTTATGTCGGTTGCACTCTTATTGTTTCTAAATTTACACATCATGCATACAAATATTACAAATTAATTAAAATTATTTAAAAACAATTTATTTGCTTACACGTAAAATGATTTTTATTTCGCATTTTCAAGCATAATCTTAATTGTAATATAATTTTAAGCGATTAATTTTTCGTATTGCTAACATAATTCGTATTTGTTGTTTTTTGCTTTAAAAGACAGCTAATTTCATGCTTATCATATTTGTTTGTATGTATAAAATATATAAATATAATTATTTTCTTTCCTACTGCTAATTGACAACAATACACAAATTTCGCGTTTAACATTTGAACAAATTGTATTAAGTCTAAAACAATGATTTTGAAATTGTTTTTAATAAATTTTTTTCACACGTAGCAGCTAATCATTAAGACATAAAATTAACACAATTCGCAATTTTCAAATCGTTCAATTTAATTCTAAAATAATTTAGTTTTCACATAGCATACAATTTTACAAAAATTATAAAATTTTGTTAATTTTTCTTAAGTTTTTCAAATAACTTTTGCGGAAGCGAGGGCTACTTTTTGAAATCTAGGAAATAAAATAAAATTAAAAATTAAAGGAAATTTAAAATAGTTAAAACGCCTTAAAAAACGTAAAAAGGGTTTTAAACAAAATTTAAAAAAGAAAAAAAATTTTAAAAACATAAAATAATAAAAAATTAAAGCAAAGAAAAATTAAAGAGCGAACATAAATTTAATGGAATAAAAGAAAGTTTAAATAGATTTAAAATTGATAGTGACGAAAAATTCAAAAATAAATTCACTTGTTCACGAAATTAAAAAAAAAATTATATAATTTAAGCCATGAGAGAAGAAGCGGCCTAACCCATTTTTTTTTGTACTTACCTACAAATTGACCTCAAATGTGATAAATTATAAAATAAAGTTCGCTTATTCCATTATTTGTTGGTACAATATAAAACCTTGTCTTAAAATTAAGGAATACGCGTTTTTATTTTAAAATTTATTACATTTGAGACTATGTTAAGTAGGTAAGTACAAAAAAAAATCGGCTAGGCCACTTCTGCTTCCACGACCTCAATTATGGTACAAATAATAATTTTAATTTGTTTGTAAAAATAACTAAAAAACTTCGGAATTATAAGAAATATATAAATAAAAAAGGCGTTACTTGAAAAATTATACCAAAATTTGTCAATTGAATCAAATTCAATGCTAACTACTCTGATTTAGATCCAATTCGAGCAAATTCCCACCGAATTCCGCAAAAATTATAAACAAAAGAAAAATATTCACAAAACGATGACATATCTAAATTTAGAATGCTGCTAATTTAGGCAATTTTATTTAAATACCACTGCTCAAAAATTTTTAGATTTACAAAAAATTTGAATAATAAGTTTTAAAAAATATATTTATTTCCATATCGTAAGAAAAAAGAACAAACAGCTACACATAAAAACTATGGAAACCAAAATAAAGGAGGTAAGGTGAAAAATCTTAAATAAAACTAATGTAAACCAAAAATTGTTTAATAAAAAACGCAAAGGTGTTTATTTTTTCCAAAATTTCAAATAACTTGAAAATTTGTTTAAACCAATTCCAGCAAAACTCACCAAAAGCAGCTTTCTCATAAATTAAGCATTAAAAATGTAAGGATTAAATCTTTTTAAGGAGCATTAAATTAATTTGGAGAAAATCTACCAGCGGTAGCGCAAATAAAACTCAGCACAAGAAAAAGCTGTAAATCAGCGAACAAATTGAAATTAAGAAATTTAAAATATAAAACAAATAAAAATTTTCGTGTAAAATTTGTAAATTTATTAATTATAGGTAAATATAAATGTATGAAATAATTACACAGCAGCAATAATGGTGTTAAAAATATTATAACAATGATTTCCTTTTTTTTTGATTGTTTCCACATTCACAAAATACAAAAATAAAACTAAAATAAAAAATATGTATGTCGTTAGTGTCCGATTGTCTGCTGTCGTAAAGTTTTTAACGGTTAAATATATGTACGTTTAAAGGACTCGAAACCAGAACAAAATAATTTTAGCAGTAAGAATTTTGACTATAACTGTACCTTGCAAATCCGCTATATATATGTTTAACCTTTAAAGAGTCTACGACATCTAACAATACGACACTTGCGCCACATTTACGAATACTCCAATCATATCGTATGTATCTATATTCAATAAAAACAAAATTTTAGAGTTTTTTTAATATTTTTTTAAAGGCAGCAGCGCGAAACAGAATATTTGTTGTTGTGTGTATTGTGTTTGTGTTGTATAAAATATAATATTGTGTATGTTTATGTAGATTATAGCATTGTGTGTTTATTTTTTTTTTTTTTGACGCGGACAATTTTTTTCATAAGAAAGTGGGATTTGTGAAATGTTTTAAGCAGTTTTTGAAATATTCAAGTCCCATTTATTTTTAAAGCTTTAATTCGTTGAAATTTTTAAGGAAGTTTTTTTTCGAAATTTGAATTTATTAAAAATGGGATTTTGTAAAGAAATTTGCCATTTTTATACAAATCTTGCAAAAAAATATAATTTATTCTAACCGAAAAAACGTAACTATATAGTTTTGCAAAGGATTTTCTCTGTAAGCTCAGTTTGAAAATTTTGGGAAATTACTTTTTTTCAGCTACTTTTTTCGATTTTTGTTAATGATATTTGAATTAAAAAAACTGGATTTTTTGTAAGTAAATTTCAATAATAAGTTTTTTTTATTTTTTTTTACTTTTTTCTATTGTTTTTTATTATTTTATTGGAGCTCGAATGCTTTAGGTATATGTTTTTCACTGTTGCAATGAAAGTCCTTTGCTCTGAATTCTTACTTAATGTTTTTTTTTAGCTACCGGTTCCTACGGGGAAATGTATTTTTTTAGTTTTTTTCTAAATCAAAGGCCTAAACTCAGTTGAACATTTTTTTGATTCTCTATACTTTTTAAGAATTTTTATTTAAAAATTAATCAGTAACTATGTTAATCTTTACAAACTTAAAGCAAAATGCTACCAGAACTTAATTTCGGCAAAAATGTTTTCAAGTTTCACAAATCCCATTTCTATTATATTTGCGGATTGTATTATTAAGATTTCGAACCTTTACCCAATTTTTCATACGCTTGAAATTTGAAAATTTTTAAAAACTGCAAAATATTCCTTTTCTACTGCTTTTTGATCACTAATTTTTTTTTTTTTACAACCTATTTTTATTTTTACTTACTTCTATTAAATTTTTAATGCATCAATACAGATCACAATCCACGCTTTTCGTATGAATATATATTTTGTTTTATTTTTTTGTTTTCATTTTTCATTTTTCTGTACGTTTTACGTTTACTTTAACGCTGCGTAAACTACCATGCAGCGATACAAAACTACAACAAAAATTACAAAAAAAAAACACAGCAACAGGCACAGCAGCAACAAACTACTCTAGTACAACAACAACAATAACCAGCATTACAAAGAATTATTATCTTAAGAAATATATTAAAAAACACGAAGAGGAACGCGCAAATCAAGGGGTAAAAAAGCCAGGGAATATAAAAGGTAAGGAGGTGGAAAGAAACCAAGAAGGGTACCAGCTCAGGTAATAAAAATAAATCTTTAACCATAAACGAGAGGTCTCAGAGAGAGTTCATTTAGAATCCTTTTTTTTCAAAAAAAAACATAAAAATTGTTAAGAATTAAAAATGGCGTAAAAAGTAAGTTAAAAGTAAGGAGCGCAAACAATTTGTGTGCATAAGTTAAGATGAAAACGTGAAACGCTTTTAATGCAAACAAATAGTTTTCAGAGCTTTCGAGCGCACATTCGAAATACAAAATTGGTTTTGAAAAAAAAAACTCTAGCGAAAGATAGGGAAGCGTGAGTGTATTTTCTAGGTTTTGTTGTATTATCGACTTTTTTCATTGTCTCCACACCGCATATACGACCACCACATCACGTCCACTTAAAAGTGCGTTTTTGTTGAAGGATGCATGAAAGAAAGTAACGCGCGCGTACAAATTCGCTTTTGAAGCAACTGCGCACGCTTATGAGCTCATGAGGAATAGAGCTCATTTTAAAACTTTAACTGTCATGTGTTATAGCTAGCGCGTGGCGGTGTCGGAGGTGGTGGCTGTTGTTGCGTATGCGAATGCGACTGCTGTTTCGGCTGCTGACCGCTGCCTGTGCGCATGCTCATGTCTTTGGGAATGTTTTCGTTGGCTGTAAAATGATGGGAGTCAACAATTTGAAAATACCGGGCCGTGTGAATACCTGCTTACCTGCCGCAGCAGCACCGGCGGCAGCGTTAGCGGCGGATGCATTTGCCGCTGACGCTGTTTGTTGTTGTTGCTGCTGCTGCGGATGTATGGCGCTTTGTTGGTGTTGGTGTTGTTGTTGATGATGATGATGATAGCTGTTGCTATCGCCCGTCTTTGGGTTGCCGATGCCTAGGAGTACACTGGCCGGCGATGGTGGGAGCGGTGCTTGTTTTTTTGTAGCCAACGGCGGCGCTGCGGCACCACCACCACCATAAAGTTGTTGCTTGGCCGCAGCACCTGCATAGTGATTGACGCCATCTGAGGCGGCGCCGACATTAGTGCTGCTGCAGTTGTTTGTGGCAGAGGACAGCAAGTTGCTGCTGGCACCTGTGGAGTTTTTACTTGCTAAACTTATACTAGAAACTGCTGGTGGTAGCGGAGATCTTTGTGAGTCACTGCCTATTTCGCCGGTGTATCTGGTGAGGAGAGAGAGGAGAGGAAGATGTTATAATTTGTCAATATAATATTTTTTAAAGCATTTTAATCAAATTAAGAAGTAAAATAAAAAGATATGCTCGCCTGCAAGTTTTCCTGAGTTTTCTAAAATTTTAGGAATACTGCTATTCCACGTTCTTGTTTATATGAATGCAAACCTTAAAACGCCTTTAAAGATTGCTTGTACACAAAAACTCTTATTGAAACAATGTAATTGATTCCATTCCTTCTTTCTATAAAACTGCCTTTGCAATTTGGCAAAAAAAATTTAGCTCGACAGCTTATAACATGAATTGGAATTCAGTTAGCTTTTATCATATGCTGTCTTAAATACAAAGGTAAAAGCAATTTCCAAATTTTACAGCAGAGCTGAATAGAAAAAGTAAATATGTTAAATTGCCTAAAATTTTTGTAAGAGGTTTCGAAGAAAAATCCCTATTACTCTTCTTATCCCATTTACTCTGACGGCTTCTATTGGGTTAGCGTTTATAAAAAAAATTTAATTTTCAGCTCATTGCCCTTTGCTTTCACAATAACCCCTTAGGCGATAAGTTAGCGACTAAATAGTTGAGTTTAAGAGCCTTATAAGCCCACTAAAAAATTTCACAATTTTTGGTCACGAAAGACTAAAACAAATTTTGCATACAGTAGCACTCACTTGATATTTGTGTATTCGCGTCCGACTTGTAAGCTCTGCTCTTCGGCACGTTTACGTTGTATCAGCGTTTGTATGTAATGCTGCACAGCATAATAAACAAATTTGTATTGTGCTTCAGTTTGTACTAAACCAGAACGTTGGGAGCGTAGCATTTGTATTGTGCGCTGTATATCGATTTCGGTGTCGAGACCTGTGTGGTGAAAATATAAAAGCATTTGCATAATTAGTTCCTACTTCTATACTCTTTCTCGCCTTCTCGGAATTCTTACCATATCTATCGATTTGATCGAGAATCATATCAATCACAATAAAAGTGCCCGTACGGCCAATACCCGCGGAGCAATGCACGCAAATTGGACCCTAAAATATTGTATAAGAAATAAATTTTAATTTGTTTCCAATTAAAATACATAGTGCACATTTTTTTTTTTTTTTTTGTAATCCCAATCTTGCTTCCACTTACCGGCTTCTCGCCCGCCAGCGTCAGCTGACTCTGCTTTGTATTTACATCTTGCAAGAAATTCAGCACACAACCCGGATCCTGTGGCACACCATGATCGGGCCATACTTGAAAGTGATAGTGATAGATGCGGCGCTCAGGCTTATCGCGCCAGGAGAAGATAAATTCGCGCAGCGTATAATCGCTGGTTTTGCTTTCCGAGAGACATTGTATCTTCGCCGGGCCGAATTGTCGGCATTGGCCCTCATCCGGCCAGTATTTAGCACATTTACTGCGATCTGCAAGTAAATTAAAGCGAAAAAATTAAAAACACAGAACGCGCAGGAGCAGCTGTTACAGCGGAAATGCCAGAAATTTCCGTGCACAAGAAATTTTTCAAAAATATATTTAGCTGAACTGTTGCAGTTATTTTGAGAGCGCCAATAAGGAAGAAATTATTTTTCTTTTACACAAAAATTTGTTATTTATATACCGGTAGCTGAATCTAACTTATCAATAATTAATAGTTTGTTTACTTAGATATCTGTCCGCTAATAAAAGTATTTATTTAGTTTTTAGTTTAGTTAAAAATTATGGGAAACTGGAAGTTAAGTATTTTATTCTTATCAAACGAGAGTACAAAATACCTACAAATCGTTTTTCGAGATTATTGCAAATTTTCACGATTTCTTTGGGCAGAATAACGCTGCAATCGGCATTGCCAGAATCTTAAACTACTTTAATTGTAAAATTTATAAGAAAGTATTGCGCTGAATACGATTTTTTTATGCTTGACTGGCTGAATGGCGTCACAAACGATTTTAAGCGCTACTTAAAAAGATCTTAAAAGCTGAATAAGACTTCAATCTACATTTAAAGTGGTCGCCACTACAATATGCATACAATTTATAAGAAAATTTTTTTATTAAATGCTATATTTTTTGTAAAACTGAGCTGAATAGCTGTAAATTAATATTTGTACTGTCTTATATGATTTTCTATGTAAACTATTTAAAAGCAAAAAGCGCGGACATTTTTTTTAGTAAATTTGAGCTGAATTATGCTTTAACTTGAATGGAGCCCAATAACTCTAAGAAAGAGTATTTTTGACACTATCGCAGACTTACTTCTCTCAATCTCTTTGGTTGTCATCACGATGACGCGCGTATTCTCCTGCCAGATCATGTTCCAGAAATCGACAATCGTGGTCGGCAAGCAGCCCTGCGTCGCAATGTACACCTTAAACATATCACGTTCGTTCATCTCATTGCTACACTTCTTCAACAACCCGCCAGCATTGCAACCGGCTAGCGCCGACCGCGAACCACCAGCACCACAAACACCAGCGCTGCTAAAACTCGTTGCGGTTGAGGCAGATGAATCGCTGCGTTTATGTTTGTTCATCGTATCCGATTTTTTATTGCAAGTTGCACAGTTACTCAAAGGCAATATGGCCGATTTCACAGCACATTGCACACAAGTCTTATTCTGCATTTGACAGTTGGTGCAGTTCTTCTGCATTTGGGCGGCGGTGCATGCGGGACAAGAGGCCACCAAGCCAGTGGCATTCAAACTCTCTGACGATGAGCTCATGCTATTCAAATCGCCATCGGTGGGCAGGCGAATATAATTCGCGTTAATGTATTCAGAGCCGGGCACACTTTTCTCCACATCGAGTAGTTTAACGCGGGTATGATCATCTAAGAGTGGATGCAGAGCGAGAGGAAGAGAGATAATAATAATGGAAAATTTTAATAATCAATTTTGAAAAATTGTCATGCAAAAACATTTTCGCACGTGCCAACGTCAACGTTGCTGTGCGCTGAATAAGTTAACAAGGGTATACTTGTGTGGATGTATATGTAACTTACAGGGCAGTATATTGCGATAGCGATTCTTGCCGCGATTCTCGGGCTTATAGCCTTCAATGCGACAAAACATATTGCGATTATCTTGTTGCAGCGATTCGAATTCCTCCCAGAAGCCACCCTAGCAAGAAGGAAAAGGAAATTAAATTTTTGAATCTCAGTTATGTATGTATATATGTATGTAGAGTAGAGTGTGCGCTCAACCACTCACCTTGGCCAGTTGTTCGACTCTTTCATTGATGCCCCCCGCAGTGATGCGCGTCGCATTGAATGGCTGCCGCAAATGCACCACTGTGCCGCACGTCTCCACCATCGGATTGCGTTTATAGTGTTCGATGAGTTCGGATAAAGTGTCGAAGGGTTCACCACCGCCAACATCGTATTTCTTGTCCTACGAAGGAGCAAGGGAGAGAAAAAGGGGAGAAGGTGTAAATTAATTTCCGTAGATATAAGTAATTATGTATGTATATACACATATTTTTCCACTCTCAGGTGTGAAGGTATTTAAAGTGTGTCTAATACGGTCCAAATAATAACACCGAAGTGTAAACGCAAGAAAAAGTATGAAAAAAAGCGAGTTTTCTACATGTCACACATATACATTTTTATTGTTTTTGTATATTTTGCCAGCAACAACAGACGCAACAAAAGCTGCGAAATCAATTTATAACGTATGAAAAAAAAACAAACTAAAGGAAACTATTTTAGAAAAAGCGACAAAAAATCCCAGCAACAATATAAAATATGCATGCACTTACTAAAATAATAAACCCAAAAAATATTAAAAATAATAATAAATGAAAACCAGTAGATATGTCATTTAAAAAACGACTCCAATTTCTCACGCTGTAGGGTTCTAATAAATTTTCGGCAGTTTATTTGTCCAAGTTTCCTTCCGATTTTTTTTTTGTGAATTAAGTTCATTTTTGACTTAAAATTCTTTTTGCTTTCATATTTAATTTTTGTAAGACTATCATCGATTTTCCATATATATATAATGTGCTTTTTTCTTTGAAAAATTTCGCAACACTAGGTCATTTTATTTAATTTTTATATAGTCTTTTGAATTTTTTAACGGATGCATATGTACATACATACATATGTGCACACATATTTACATACGTATGCGTTCCTTATTTTATTTACTCTTTTCTTAATTTTTTATTTTTTGCAAAAAATTGCAAAAGTTTCAAAAAAATATAATAGAATTTTTAAAATTTTCCAAAAAAATGTTGGTACAATAAAAAAATAAATACAATTAAAAAAAAATAATACAATTAAGGAAAAATTATAAAAAAAAAATATAAAAAATTATAAAAAAAATGATTTTCAAAATATTAGTATGTATGTAAAGATTTCAAAAAATTCAAATTTTGGGAAAAATTACAAATATTCCATAAAACCAGGCTTAAAAAGGTATCAAAAAGTTCCCAAAACAGAAAAAAATATTACAGCAAAAAAAAAGTTTATATTGCTTTTTTATTCCGATAAGGCTGTTTAAGCAAATTTTATTTCAGCTTTTATGAATATTTTATGTTGTTGTTGCAGCTATTTCTTACTAATTGAATTATTGAAGTATTTATATATAAATTTGTAGTGTTAATATGCATAAATAATTCTGTGTATACATACACATACATATGTGTGTATTTATTTTGCTTTTGCATTTGTTATTTGGTTTGTTATTATTATTTTAACCGCAGTTGACATTTATCTAAGCCAGGTTATTGCTGTGACTATTGTTTTTGTAGTGGTAGCTATAAAAACACATTAACATTTTTAACACTATTTTTTGTTCTATTGCTTTTTTTACATTGTTCTTTTTTATTTAATTTTATTTTTTGCATTTTCTCACTTTTTCTGAGCTTCATAGCTGCAAAATATTATTATTGTGTTTGTTAGTGCCTTTGGCTTTGTGCTAGTCGTTTGCTTAGCTGCAATAGACATTGTTTTTTTTTTGGTTGTTGCTGGTTTTGTTGTTGCTGCTTTTGGTGTAATAAGTATTGTTTGTAGTTAGCTGGAAGCTCGCTATGCACGAAAATTTCAAGGTCATGCGCTTCGAGGAAAAACATTGAAATGATAAAGTGACTTTGATGTTTTTTTAAGGCAAATTTCATTAAGTTGAGTCATTAAAGGAAAATGCTGAGTATATTAAGAACTTTAACTTTGGAAAATTGTTAAAAAATAAAAAATATATAGGTAATTGTTGAAATATACTACAATATTATAGAATTATTTGATTTTAAAATAAAATTCGATTTGGATTGAAATTTTCACTAATTAAATTAGTCAGGTATTTATCGATTTCTACCAATTTTAAACATTTACTTTGTGAATTTACAAATTGTCTGTACTTTATTTCTTTTTTGGTCATTTTAGTTTCACACTCACCTGCCATCGAATCATGACGTGCGTCACTTTATCATCTGTGCGCACTGAAAGCACAAAATCACCAGGTTTACTTTGAGATTCACGCACCAGAAACGAACCATTCTTTCCACGCTCCAAAATCAATTTTTCAGCTTCTTTGCCCGAAAGATTGCCATGAAACCATCTGTTGGATAAGGAAAACAAAAAATAAAAATGAATATAAAATTTTAATTTTAAAATAAATCTGCTAAGATAATTTATCATGAGACCATACTCATAACAATCTTGCTGTATGAGTCCTTAATTGAAAGTCATTTTTTTATTTACACAAAAAAGAAACCATATTTGCATTTAATACCGAAATACACTTTTGTATACATCTAAAATGCATTCTTTTGACTTAAAACCTTTCCATCATGCATTTGGAAATAAACAACGATGCATTATGAGTGAAATTTTAAGAAGTCTCCTAACTCTCCATTTAAAGAAAAGCGAGTTTTTGCGAAAAAATTTCATTTTCACTGAAATTTAAAAAGTCTCCAAACTCTCCAACTCTCAAGTAACCTAGTTTTTACATTAAGATGCAAAAGTAGATCGTGTTTCTAAGCATCAAAAATCAATTTTTCACCATTACTAGTAAATTCTCCAATCTCTATACGAATTTTTTTAAAGTTTCTCTTAACTTAGCGTATAATGGCCTTATTCATAAAAAATAAAGCAGCTTTATAAAAGGTTTGTAAATTGAAAAATGTATGAAAACGTAAATTTATAAAGCTCTTTAAACCTACTTTATTTTTTATGAATAAGGCCATAAATCTTTAAATTCTTTTGTTGTGATAACTATTTAATTCGTTATTCTTTCAAATCACTTTTATTGGTTAATTTTTTTTTTTTGTTAACACAATAAATGTATTGCTTTCATAAATCTCACCTGTCATGGTATCTTTACGCGGCCGAAAGAAGTGTTCTGTATATTTTTCTTGTTTTTTATATATTTTTTCTTCTTCTACAAACTAACGAAATTTTAACCTTTTATTACTTTACTTTCTTCGAAAATCACGCTTATCGCCCAAAGGTAATTCAATCCGTCCGAAGGTGAATATTCTATACGAAATTATTGCTACTATGGTATCACAATTCTCGTCTAAGTAGCTAGTTAAATGACACCGTTTCGCCTCGCAATGCAATTGCGTACTACAAAACTCAAAAAACAGTGCATTGCACAAAAGCCCGTTCAAGCATTCGTGCGGCTGACTGACTGGCTGGCTCGAAATATACCTATCTGTGTGTGTGTGTGCGATGTGTGGACGGACATGACGACAAGCACACTGACATACAAATTAAAACAAATACTTATAAGTACACAAGTGTGTAGATATGTTGTACTCGTACAAATTGGCATTAGAGCACACAAAAGTGTTAAAACATATGGCGTAGAATATGACGAGTAAAGCGTGAAATCTTCGCACCAACAACTACCCTCAAACACATATCCAGAACAGACGAACGAACGACCCTAGCGTTGCGACGACACCAAACCCCAAACTTGTGCCGAGCCAGAATTAGAGCCAAAGCTAAAGTGTGTTGCTTGTGAGCGAGTTCATACATACATATGTATGTATGTAGGTCCAGTCAGTCAGTGAGCTTACTGGCTTTTATGCGCGCCAGTCAAACGCCCAACTCGACACCCTACTTGTCTGCCTGTTAGCTTATTTTGCGACCAACACAACACAACACAACGCACTCGAATGGCCTGAGCAGCAGTCATGGAAAATCAGCAACAATAAAAATTAGCGCTCATACACACTCATACACATAAGGCGCTAGGCAAATACATACATACATGTACAGCGTTTTGTTTATGGCTAAGTTGCATTGTTCACTGCAGTTTTGCCAACGAACGAAAAAGGCAACTTGCACTTGGCCCGGAACAGCTGAGCAAGTGTGCTCTCTCTGGCAATGAGCGCTATGCTCTGTGCGCTCTTCACTACCAATGGGGTGAATAGGCTAATGCAGCTTTGGATATCAGACCTGGCGAGTACGTATTCCAACTCATTCCATATGCTTTATAGGCTGTTGCATCATACATATGTATATAGTTTTGTAGAAATGAGGGGGTAAGTTGACCTCATGATTTCTGCTTCCTCAGCTAATATACATATACATATGCATATGCATGTACAATGTAGTATTTCACAATTTCGCAAGTAATCGCCAAGGCCATGTCGGAAGGAATTGCATTTTCATTGTTATTGCTCTGCATATTTTATTTTTTATGATTTCTTATTTACTTAATTTTTAATGTGAAAGACCTATACACAGAAGCGGAAATTTCAAGGAAACTTGCCACATGTAAGTTGTGGCTTGTAATTACCAAACTTATGTGTACAAGTATTAGCCAGTGTTGAGTCATGCCATAACATGGCAAGCGGAACTCTGCTGGTGGGAGATGGTACAGCTGCAATAGAAAATGAAGGTCACTGGTCTGCATATGGGATTGTGTGTCATTTTAAATTACTAAGGATATATGCTTTTCAAGTTATTTATGTATACAAATTTTGAAAGTCGTAATTTGTAGAAAAATTCGAAATCGCTATGAATACCTTGCGATTGCTTGTACACATAATCAATGTTGAATTGATTTTGTAGAAGTTTTAAAAGTCTCCAAAAAATTGTCTAGTGTAATTTCAGCAAAAAATATTGCAAAACGTGAAATAGCTTGAAAAAATTAATTTCAAGATAATTTTTCAAAAGTCTCCAAACTCTACACTAACTTCAAAAATGTGCGTAATTGATTTTTAAGCGCTAGATTTTAAATTTTAAATATTTCGGAAATTTTCTGCTACATCCTGTGCATACAAGCGTCTCAAAGTTAGCAATTTTCTCGTTTCACTTTTTAAAATCGTCTTTAAAAATTAACTAGCATTAACTTATACTTAATCCATTACAATTTTAAATAAATAACTGCAGCCAACAAAGTTTTTATGCAAACAAATAAGCTTCTTTGAACCTTAAACTTCCACTTCAGCTTTGAGTAGCTTACTATGGCACTTGCTTGTAGTAAATGAGCTAAAGTGCTTTCGCTTCTTATTAAAAACGGTTTCCTAATAACACTTGATATAGTTAGAAATTGAGAATCGCAAATTTTATTATTGAATTAGAAATAAAAAATAACATAGTTAAATTTCTAACTGTCGTATCTAAAGTCTGCATTTAATGACGCTTTAATTAAAGTAATTACAAAAATTATGATGCTAATTTCAAAAGTAAATACTTTTCAAATACTTTCGTATTTTCTATTGGAAATATTTGAATAATTCATTAACTGCTACTATTTTGTTTTATGTGACTTAGCATTTAGTCTATTTAAGATGCTCTCAGTCATGTCAATCGTTTAATTGCATAAAAACTTTTCTTTAAATATTTATAAGGCATCATCTTTGATGCACTCTAATTGTGTTAATTGAATAGTAAGCAATTAAAAAAATTTGTGTCGCCATATTCTAGAAATGCATAATCAGTACGGTTGACTAAATTAATCTACTTATAAACATAGCAATCAATATATTTTCCACGTGTTTATAAATGCTCTTCTAATTGGGTATTTACATACATTTAAAATGTAGTCTGGACTGGTTGAAGTCGATTTCTTATGAACGTATTTTCGTTATCGTTTTTACGGTGGCTACATTAATTTTGTACGCAGAAAATACATAGTTACGTTAACTTTTTTGAACCGAAAGCACAATTTTATGATGTTTTCACATATTTCCAGGCAGTCTCCAAACTCTACACTACTGCGCATTTGTTTTTGAATGCGTTACGGCAATTTGTTGCGCACTTTTTTGATGAGTACAAGAAAAATTGTGTATTTCTGAAAAGTCTCCAAATTCTCCAAAGCCCGAAATATACTTCAGAGTTATTATTTTTTCTTAAATTGGTAATACATGGTTCTTTTGAAGGATTAAACAAACTCCAAAGACTTCACTAATCAAATTTCAGCTCTAACATTGCAATTTAAGTAGTTAACTGGATTTACTGACACATTTACATGCACAACTTAAATAACAATTTTTAACTTCTCAGTAAATATCCAATTGTATGTTTGTATGTGTGTATGCATGGAAATATAAAAACTAAATAACAAACAGAAAAAGTTAAAAAATTATGGGTGTGTGAGAAATTTGTGAAAACAGTATGTTAGCGTCTGGCCAAATGTAGAAAAAAGTGATATTAATGTGTATATAGTAATATGTATATTTGTAGTATGTACAGTAGAACTTCGTTAATCCGGATGAATTAAAAACAAGCTCAATCCGGACTATTCGGTAATCCGGATTACCAAAGGCATTAAAATTTCTGAGGAATAAACACCCATAAATGTTTCTGCATTTATTAAAAGTATAACAATGACCTGAATATAAACTTTAAAAATAGAATATAAAGGAATAGTAACTTAAAATTAAAAAAAGGTTTGGATTACCGAGACCGTTGTCGGCCGGTCCGCATTACAATGTAAACAATAGAAAATTTTTATTTTATAACCCTGTCGGATTACAGAAGGACCATATCCGGATTAACGAAGTTCTACTGTATGTGTATATAATAATTTTCAACGGCCAAAATGGTAAATTTGAATAAACAAGAAAATATTAGAATAGAATTTAAGAGGAAGGCAAGAAACGAAGTGGAGAGGATGCGCGCATTTTCTCATTCACAAATATTAAACAGAAGTAAAATAAAACATGTAAACAAATAAATATTTTAAATAAAGACTCTCACACTTCATAGTTGAACAAACTGTAAAATAATGCAATAAAGCAAATATGTATGTATGTACTTGTATGTATGCATGTAAGCTACCAAGGCCATCTGAAGCATGCATAAAATTAATATTGCTCATACGCACAGGTCACCGATGGTCAGGTCAGCGACATTAAGAACATTGAGTTGTAAAGTCATAAATTTATAAAGCAAAAAAATGCCGCAATAAATAAAAGCAATTATGTAAACACACATGTATATATGTATACTTGTATACATATTCATAGCAGATACATAATAGTGGGGTAGACACATTAATGAGACATAACGAGCTACTTGTTGCGCAAGGCACGCACGCTGAATCGCTCACTGTTTACTGCCCTACCGCGCTCGGCTTCCGACTTGCTTAAAAGAACCCTT